TCTTTTAAAATCTTGAACTCTCCTCTTTTGCCCTAAATTTCCCATTGTTTGCACCTACCTTTTTTGGTGAGGAAAAAGAAAAAGAAATCTCTCTCTCCCTCATTTTGTCACATTGCAGCAGAGCTTGCTTTACTTTCAGTTTCGTTTTTTCAGCATAGCTAGGGGGGAAAAAAATCTGCTCCAGCACTCTGCAGCAAGCAGGAGAGCCCTGCCTAAAACGGCTGAGAGCAAATCAGCTGAGAGTCGGGAGGCAGATTTAATCAACAGCTAATTAGCCTATCCTGAACCTGAAAGGAACTGTTTTTTCTTGCTGTTTGCTTACAAGGAGGTAACTGCTGTGAGGCACAGGCCTCCTTGCCACTTAGCTCTCCCCTGTCGCCCCCTTTTGCCTCTAGCGCCCCTCTGCCGCCCCCTTGCCTCCCCAGAGCTTAACTACTTAACCGATTCTACCGAAGTAGAATCCCACCACTGGGTCTACCCATTTATTTTTGCAGACACCGGTCTACTCATTTGTTTTCTTTTAACACTGATCAGCTATAGGGTGGCCCTTTGAAGCCCCACGGCAAGAGTTTAAACAGTTTTTTTTCCTCTAGCCATCAGCTGGGACTCAGGAGGCAGCAACAGATAGGGGGTGAGGCCAAATAAAAGGTAAGAATAATGCGGGGGGGTGGGGGGGAGAGAACCGGTTCAGTGATGTCATATCGTCACCGCTACCGGCTCGCGGGAACCGGGCTGAACTGGGAGGAACCCACCACTGGTCTAGGCCACGCCCACCCAGCAACCAGGCAGAGAACCGATTGCTAAAATTTTTCGATCCCATCCCTGTATAGCACACTTAGGTGTTCCTGGTGGTCTCCTTTCCCAAGGACTAATAGCGGTGCCCTTGCTTCTATGGGAAGAATTTTAAATTCTTAGAAATAGTGTAAAGGGAACCACATGTTAACTGACCCAAGTCTCCACAAAGTTCCTGATTTACAGCCATGGGGATCCAGGTTTAAGCTGACCCAAACACACAAACGACTTAAACGCTTATTCCAAATTGTAAACACACACAGACAAGCACAAAAACGTCAATCAATACAGTAGAAACGTCATTATAACCCCGTTCGAATGAAGAGTCTCGATCCATATCCCTTCATTTAATCAACCCCTTCTCTCTAGGGTCCCCACATACACACTCCCGCGCCCCTCAAGTGTCACTCTGGAATCAGCACACGCACAACTGCAACACACCCAGGACAAGCTCCCTTATAAAACACGCTCTCTGTACCGTATTTTCTTTGCAGCTGCTGCCTCCCCAGGCAAAAATCTCTTTGCTTTCGGGAATCATTCGCCTTTCCTCACAGCCGCCTGGATTTCGTTTTTATTTTGATTCTTACGCAACCCTGAATTGGAATGCCAAATTTTTCTTCTGGCCCTTCCCATCCAGACCAATCCACAATCAGATGCCGCCTCAAATGCTACGGTGGCACCGAATTTAACCTTTGGATCCTAATGGAAACAACACAACTAGCAGTCCACCTTACCCAAAAGATACAGGTAGTCCCCGACTTACGACAAGTCATTTAGCAAACGTTCAAAGTTGCAAAACCTCTCAAACTGAGAATCCTTCTTCCCCCCCAAAAGGGCTGTAGGGAATGGAACAATCGTCGCAGAACATTCTGGAATATTTCTTTTTAGGGATGGCGGTGCAATCTTTGTAGGAAGTTTCAGATTTAGGGATTACTGTGATTCAAGGAACAATTGGGAATTATGAAACCAGAATTGGGCAAAATTGACCTTTCTAAACCTCAAAAAAGGTCAGTTTTGCCCAATTCATCATCCCTAAAAAGAAATATTCCAGAATGTTCTGCGACGGTTGTTCCATTCCCTACAGGCCTTTTGGAGGGGAAGAAGAATTCGCAGTTTGAGAGGTTTCGTAACTTCTCAAACAGTTTTAAATAATAGTTTTCCTCACACAGCAGGAATCGTGGGAAGCGTGTTACTCCAGGGTACCTCAAAATCAGAAGCGTGGTAGCCCCTTTCCCTCTTGACCCGTTTTACTCAAAAGTTAAAGCCTTTTTCAGATGCATGGAATAACTCAATAAAATAGTTTTTTTAAAAATTTGAAGCCCGGAGAGGAAACGTTAAGGTTATTATTATATATGTTGATGGCAGCAAGATTATTTTATGCACAAAAATGGAAGGATGCTTTGATTCCTACGATAGATTCATGGCTGCCAAAGTTGATGGAATTAGCAGAAGTGGCCAAATTGACTGCTTCGATCGAAGAAAACAAAAAAAACAACAATTATTTTTGTTTCAACCTGGAAACCGCTTCTGCACTTTGTGCTTGAGGTGGGGAAAAAATATGAGATTTGATTTTGGGTTTTACCAATTAGACAGGTTTGTTGTTATAGAAATGGGTTAGGGAGGGTTTATATTATTATTTAAAAGTAAAATGTTGATATTATTTTCTTATTTTACTGCATCAAAACTCCCTTTGATGCAGTAAAATAAGAAAATTTTCTTATTTTAAAATTTTCACTGGAAGTCCGTGTCTTTTCTTTCCTTTTCTTTCCTTTTTCCTACACTTTTTCCTTTTCCCTTTTTCCTCCTTTATTTTACCTACTATTTTCTTTTTTTTTTTCTTTTCGTATTTGATATTGTAAGCTAATAAATAAAAGTGAGAATAAATTAAAGCCGAGAGCCAATTTGGTGCAGGGGTGAAGGCACCATGCTAGAAACTGGGAGGCTGCGAGTTCTAGTCCTGCCTTAGGCCCAGTTGGAAGAAATGTCCATCTGGGTTCAGTTCCAAGTGGGGAGAAAGACACTGGAAACATAGAGACGGCTTGAAAAGATGGTTTAATGGTGGACGAGACCACATGGGTTTTTTGGTCTTGGGCAAAAAAGCACATGGGTTTTGAATTTGAGCTTGAATTCAACCAAGCTTGAATCCCAGGCTTGGTTGAGCCTTACTGGGTGATGCAGTTTCCCCAGGTGCCATGTGGCGAGTTCTGTTGCTAGATCGGTAGAGGCAGAGGTGGGTTTCAGCAGGTTCTGATCAGTTCTGGAGAACCGGTAGCGGAAATTTTGAGTAGTTCGGAGAACCGGTAGTAAAAATTCAGACTGGCCCCGTCCCCATCTATTCTCTGCCTCCCGAGTCCCAACTGATCGGGAGGAAATGGGGATTTTGCAGTATCCTTCCCCTGGAGTGGGGTGGGAATGGAGATTTTACAGTATCCTTCCCCTGCCACGCCCACCAAGCCATGCCATGCCCACCAAGCCACACCCACAGAACCGGTAGTAAAAAATTTTGAAACCCACCACTGAGTAGAGGGCTAATCCTATCTTTGTTGGATCTTGGGTGAGGGCATTTGCTTATGAATAGAGCTAGCTATCTCTTTATCTCTTAAGTGCAGACATCTGCTGTGGGCTATTGAGGAGGGTGGGGCTATTAAGAGTGAGTCTGCTTCCTGCCTAAAAAAAAACACCTGTTTCTCCATTTCTCATCCAGGGAAATATCATATTCTGCCTTTTTAATATTTCCTAGAATATTTCATTTTTTCTAGGAGAGGGGTGGGTGCCAACTTCCTACGCGGCTATTTTCTTTTTTCTTGCCGTATTTGATATTGTAAGCTAATAAATAAAAGTGAGAATAAATTAAAGCTCAAATTTTAAATTTGGTTTAATTTTAAACCAAATTAAATTGGTTCTCAACCAATTTGGTGCAGGGTTGAAGGCACCACGCTAGAAACTGGGAGGCTGCGAGTTCTAGGCACAAAGCCAGCTGGCTGATCTCGAGCCAGTCGCCTTCTCTCGGCCCTAAAAAGGAAGCAATAGCTTGAGGATTTGGGCGGTTTCGAAACATGAAATACTAATAGAATAAGTACCTAGAGGTAGCCCTTGACTTACAACAGTCCATTTAGTGACGATGGCACTGAAAAAAAGGGCATTTTTCACACTTAACGACCGTTGCAGCATCAACGTGGCTTACATTCAGACACTTGATGACGGCTTCACATTTATGACGGTCGCCGTACCCAGGGATCACGCGATCCCCCTTTGGCGACCTCCTAACCACGGGGAAAACAGATTCACTTAACAACCTAGTGTGACTACTTGAACGACTGCCGTGATTCCCTGATCGGATGGGTGAAGAAAAGTCGTACCGTGGGGCCAAAAAACTCACGGAACCAATCTCTCGCTTAGCGACATCAAGTCGTAAAAGGGGATCAGGACAATGCAACTGTCATAAATACGAACCAGTTTCCAAGTGGGCGAATCTTGATGACGTGACTATAGGGTAGCTGCAACGGACGTAAGTCTGAAACACGGTCATAAGTCACTTTTTTCAGAGCTGTTGTAACTCTGAATCGTTGCTAAATGAACTGTTGTAAGTTGAGGACTATCCATACTTTGATCTGGCTTAGTTTAACTTCTGGGAATGCCCCAGGTGCCAATACTGAACCTTAAACAAATTCAAATCAAATTAAATAGGATTTTCCCCCTGGCTTCATCTTACAGGTAGTCCTCGACTTATGACCACAATTGAGCCAAAAATGTATGTTAAGTGAGACATTGGTTGAGTGAGTTTTGCCCCATTATATGACTTTGAACCAATGTCTCGCTTAGCAACATCAACTCGGGGCTCCATTGCGGTCGTAAGTCGAGGACTGCCTGCTAAACCACTTCTGAAAAAAACCTTCCCCAGAAGTAAATTGCAGAAAGACTGGATTGAAAGGGAGAAAAAAATAAATAAAAATAAAATAAAGCTATTTACTCCCATCGGCAGCTCGGGAAAAGGCCTGCCAGACATGATGAGACCCTGCCCCCCCCCACCCCCAAAAGGGACTTCCAGCCCCCTTTGCAATTTTTTTCCCTTCTGTTGGAAAACCTGGGATAAAAGCTTCACTCTTCCCTTTGCAGCCCCTGGGTGGGAAATCTGCTCCCCCTCCTCCCAGCTGATTTTGCAAAGAGGGTGGAGGGTCTCTGGGTAGGGGCTGCCCCGGAAGACTCACCTGGGGCTGCGGCCTCCCTGCCAGGACTGAGCTGGGTCTGGTAAGCAGGAGGCGGAAATTTTATCACCCCAAAAAGCTCTTCGCTCCTCCTCGTTTTTCTGTCCTTCCTGCCCAGCTGGGTGGGAAAAAACCGTCAGCCCAAAATAGGAAGTTAAATCTTGCACAGAAGAAGGGCTGGAGGCTTCTTTCGATTTCCTTGAATCGCTTTCAGAAGTGAATTCTTCACACACACACACACCACACCCCTTTGGAGAAATAATAGAAAGACACACACACACACATGCACAAACACACTCTTTGGACAAATAGTAGAAACTCCCTCTCTCTCTCACTCACACACATAGACACACACTTTGGGCAAATAGTAGAAACTCTCTTACACAAACATAGACCCTTTGGGAAAATAATAGAAACACACAGACGCATACACAAACACACAACCTCTTTGGGCAAATAGTAGAAACTCTCTCTCACACACACACAAATACACACACTTTGGGAAAATAGTAGAAACTCTCTTACACACAGAGAGACCCTTTGGGCAAATAATAGAATCACACACACACACTCTCACAAGCACACAAACACACACCCCCTTTGGGCAAATAATAGAAAGACACACACACATGCACAAACACACAACCAGGGGTGAAATGTAAAATGTGTTACTACCGGTTCTGTGGGCGTGGCTTGGGTAATGTGACTGGGTGGGCGTGGCCAACTTTTATTTTTTTTTTTTACTTTTCAAAGCATTTTTTTCTAATGCTTTGCAAAGCCTCTGCTGATCAGGCAACTCAGCTGGGATCGTCAGAGACTTTTCAAAGCATTTTTTTTTAACCACCTCTTCGGCCAAGAGGTTGCAGAAAAAAATGCTTTGAAAAGCCTCTGACGATCCCAGCTGAGCCGCGCGATCATCAGAGGCTTTTTTTAAAAAAAAACTTTTAAACATTTTTTCGTCGGAAGAGGTTGTAGAAAAAATGCTTTTAAAAGTAAAAAAAAAACAGCCTCTGATGATTGTGCAGCTCAGCTGGGCATGGGGGGGGGGGGGGCACAGGGATTTTTGCTACCGGTTCTCCGAACCACCCGCCGCCATCGCTACCAGATTGGGCGATCCGGTCTGAACCGGGAGCATTTCACCCCTGAGAGAGACCCTTTGGGCAAATAATAGAATCACACACACACTCTCACAAACACACACACCCTTTGGGCAAATAATAGAAAGACACACACACATGCACAAACTCACAACCCTTTTGTAAGGCAAATAGTAGAAACTCTCTCACTCACTCACACACATACACACACTTTGGGCAAATAGTAGAAACTCTCTTACACACACAAACACAGGTAGAATTCAGGTATATTCAGGTAGAAAAGAAAGAGAGAGACAGACAGAGGAAGGAAGGGAGAAAAAGAAAGAAAGAAAGAAAGAAAGAAAGAAAGAAAGAAAGAAAGAAGGGAAAGAAAGAAAGAAAGAAAGAAAGAAGAGAGAGAGAGAGAATGAAAGAAAGAGAAAAAAGAAAGAAAGAAAGAAAGAAAGAAAGAAAGAAAGAAAGAAAGAAAGAAAGAAAGACCTCACCAGTTTGTTTGGCTGCAGTTCTGTGGAAAATGACGTTTTGCAAATAAGGGCCCAGATTGACTTCTGTGGGCAGCTTCACTTTGGGCAAATAGTAGAAACTCTCTTACACACACAAGCACAGACCCTTGGGCAAATAGTAGAAACACTCTCTTCCCCCACCCTTTCTCTCTCTCACACACACACACAAATACACACTCTTTGGGCAAATAGTAGAAACTCTCTTACACACACAAGCACAGACCCTTTGGGCAAATAGTAGAAACACTCTCTTCCCCCACCCTTTCTCTCTCTCACACACACACACAAATACACACTCTTTGGGCAAATAGTAGAAACTCTCTTACACACACAAGCACAGACCCTTTGGGCAAATAGTAGAAACACACAGACACAGACACAAACACACAACCTCTTTTGGGCAAATAGTAGAAACACTCTCTTCCCCCACCCTTTCTCTCTCACACACACACACAAATACACACGCTTTGGGAAAATAGTAGAAACTCTCTTACCCACAGAGAGACCCTTTGGGCAAATAATAGAATCACACGCAGACTCTCACAAACACACAAACACACACACACCGGTTGGGGAAATAATAGAAACTCACCTGTTCGGTCAATTCCGAGCACAGGAGAAGAGATGGACGGAGCGATGGAGCTGGCCGAGACGACCAACTGAACTTTCAATTCAGGGGAAGAAAGTTTAACAAGTCGGGTTGATCTTTGGAAGTTCGTTCTGGACTTTGTGCTCAAAACAAGGGTAAATAAAAAGAAATGTTGACTCAGGGTTTGGATCCGCAGGTTGTGATGGAAAGGGCAGGTCCTTTTTTAGAGGAACGTCAAAAGTGGAGGTTGTAACTTTGTTCTGGATTTTACGATACTGAAAAAACGTAGGATTTATTTCAAATTTTCCCTTTACTTCACACCTCTGTCCCCTTTCTTTTCCGCAATGTTCCTGTTGCCTTGTATTTTCATTTGCATTTTATATTCAGGTAGAAAAGAAAGAGAGAGACAGAGAGAGAGACAGAGAGAGGAAGGAAGGAAGGGAAGGAAGGAAGGAGAGGAAAGAAAGAGAGAAAGAAAGAAAGAAAGAATTAAAGAAGAAAAAGAAAGAAAAGAAAGAAGAAAGAAAAAGAAAGAAGAAAGAGAGAGAGAAAGAAAGAAAGAAGAAAGAAGAGAGAAAGAAAGAAAGAAAAAGAAAGAAAGAATAAGAGAGAAAGAAAGAAAGAGAAAGGAAGAGAGAAAGAAAGGAGAAAGAAAGGAGAAAGAAGAGAGAAAGAAAGAAGAAAGGAAGGAGAAAAGAGAGAAAGAAAGAAAGAAAAAGAAAGAAAGAAGAGAGAAAGAAAGAATGAAAGAGAAAGAGAGAGAGAGAGAAAGAAAGAAGGAAGGAAGAAAGAAAGAAAGAAAAAGAAAAAGAAAGAAAGAAAGAAAGAAAGAAAGAAAGAAAGAAAGAAAGAAAGAAAGAAAGACCTCACCAGTTTGTTTGCCTGCAGTTCTGTGGAAAATGACGTTTTGCAAATAAGGGCCCAGACTGACTTCTGCTGTGGGCGACTTCAGGACCAAGCAGGCATCAAGATTTGGGGCTTCTTATAAGGAGGCTGAACTCAAAACATCTGCAACCTGGTGTCTTTGCTGAGGTGGGATTGGGTGGGGATGATGGGGTGTTGTTGTTCAGCTCTCTGGGTTGTGGGGATGCTTCCCTGGGAAGGCGAGAGAGGGTGATTGCAACCATGCCATCAAATCGAAAAGAGTATCTGTAGCTCAGGGTTGAACGTAAGTACCCCGGCCCTAAGCCATGGAGCGCTTTAAAGGTGGTCACCAACACCTTGAAGCGCACCCGGAAGACCACCGGGAGCCAGTGCAGCTCGCGCAGGAGAGGTGTCACATGGGAGCGCCTCGTCGCCCCCATAATCCCCCGCGCGGCCGCGTTCTGGACCAGCTGGAGCCTCCGGGTGCACCCCAGGGGGAGCCCCATGTAGAGAGCGTTGCAGTAGTCCAGGCGGGAAGTGACTAGTGCCCTGGCCACGGCCGTCAAATGGTCTTCTAGAGACAGCCGTGCATCCAGGAGGACGCCCAAGTTGCGAGCCCTCTCCGTGGGGGCGAGTGATTCGCCCCCAATAGCCAGCGATGGTGTCAGCTGGCTATATCGGGACGCTGGAAGCCACAGCCACTCGGTCTTGGAGGGGTTGAGTCGGAGCCTGTTTCTCTCCATCCAGGCCCGCACGGCCTCCAGGCACTGGGACATCACTTCAAGGGCATCGTTGGGGTGGCCTGGGGTGGAGATGTACAGCTGGGTGTCATCAGCGTACTGATGGAACTCCACCCCGAAGCCACGGATGATCTCACCCAGCGGCTTTACATAAATGTTGAACAGAAGGGGCGAGAGGACCGACCCTTGTGGCACCCCACAAGCAAGGTGCCTCGGGGTCGACCGCTGCCCCCCCGTCAACACAGATTGCGACCGGTCAGAGAGGTAGGAGGAGAACCACCGCAGAACGGTGCCCCCCACCCCCAACCCCGCTAACTGGTGCAACATGATACCATGGTCGATGGTATCAAAAGCCGCTGAGAGGTCTAACAGGACCAGGATAGAGGAGCAACCCCTATCCCGAGCCCTCCAGAGATCATCCACCAACGCGACCAATGCCGTTTCCGTGCTGTGCCCAGGCCGGAAGCCGGACTGGAGCGGGTCCAGATAGACAGTTTCATCCAGGTACCGGGGAAGCTGTTGCGCTACCACACTCTCAACAACCTTCGCAACGAAGCGAAGGTTGGAGACTGGACGATAGTTAGCCAAAACAGCCGGATCCAGAGAGGGCTTCTTGAGGAGGGGCCTCACCACCGCTTCTTTCAAAGCGGCCGGCAGGACCCCCTCACTCAAAGAAGCGTTAACAATCTTCTGGAGCCAGCCTCGTGTCACCTCCCGGGAAGCCAGTACCAACCAGGAGGGACACGGGTCCAATAAACATGTGGTCGCGTTCAGCCGTCCCAGGACCCTGTCCATGACCCTATATGTATATGTATATGTATATGTATATGTATATGTATATGTATATGTATATGTATATGTATATGTATATGTAGTAAATGTATATATATTTCCTGTCTTTTCGTAGGCCTTTATGTGTATTTTTCTCTCAGCCGGGTTTTTTTTCTACGTAAATCAAGATCTTTATACAGCATAGCTCAGTGAAATCCCATTCACTAGTTTCTAGGCTTTTTCAGACATCAAATCTGCGTTTGGTGTCTATTGGGAGACTAAAGGGAGACTAAGATAAATCTATTTCGGACTAATTAGTCCTCATCTGTTAGCCACACCCATCTCATGTCTCCTCCCCGTAAAGGTCAAATATTTATTTTCTTGTCTTTTCATAGGCCTTTATGTGTATTTTTCTCTCAGCTGGGTTTTTTCCGGCTGAGAAAAGACAAGAAAATAAATATTTGACCTTTACGGGGTGGAGACATGAGATGAGGGTGTGGCTAACTGATGAGGACTAATTAGTCCGAAATAGATCTATCTTAGTCTCCCTTTAGTCTCAAATCCAGGTTTGATATCTGAAAAAGCCTAGAAACTAGTGAATGGGATTTCACTGAGCTATGGCTGTATAAAGATCTTGATTTACATAGGAAAAAACCCGGCTGAGAGAAAAATACATACATACATACATACATACATACATACATACATACATACATACATACATATGGCTATCCTCATTCTTATCCTCATGAATTGCTGCTGTTCCTTTTTAAAGGTAGTTCTCAACTTGTGACCGGTCACTTAACGACCGATCAAAGTTACAACAGACCCTCCAAAATGGATTTAGGACTGTTTTGGAAGTTCTGACATCACACACCTCCAAATATCCCACAGTCATGTGACTATATTTGGGGACTTGGCAACTGGCCTGAATTTAAGGTCATTGGCAGTGCCCCATAGCTGTGTGACTGTAATTGTGATGATGTTGCTGGGAAACTGACATTTACTTCCAGTTTCTGGCAAAAAATGGCCTACAGAGAACCATGAGTTCATTTAATGACCGTGGCGTTCACTTAACAACGTTGGTGTTGCAACCACCACATTGACTTAAAATGGCCACAAAAAAGTTGTAAAAACAGACCTGGTTCCGTGGTGATCCATTATATGACTGTCATGACTTCTGACCATAATTAGAGTTATAAGATAAGGTCTTCCTGTGTTAAAACATCAACAATATTGCACTGCAAGGGCAGCATCTGGTCAAAAAAGTCAAGATGGCGGAGCCTCAATCACAACGAGCTTCTTGACTTTTTAAAAAAACTGTATCCTACAGGCAGCTCAAGATAATTGCTGTATATAACGACATAAGAACATTTTACCACTCCGTACATCTCTTCAAAATGGCTGAATTGGAACTGTGCACGCTAGTGACTGCACGGATTTTTATGTACCTAGCATTGCAAAAGATCTTCTTTTTTGCCTTTGGAAAAGTAGCTCATTAAATTGTGGGAGTGTGTCTCCAGGTCTAGAAAAACTAAAAAGTACATTGAATGTAGAATTTGACTTTAATGGAAGCCCGTCTCAGACTACGCGGACTTGTGCTGCGCTCCAAATCTGGTGGGTTAACGGAGACAATATTTTATCCTGTTATATAACTTACAGTGTTGATAGAATGTACCAATTACCAGCTTTTACTTACTTTTAATGATTTGATCGGTGTTAACCAAGGACTCTCTTCTAGTTCAGAGCACAGCAGAGATACATGTATGGACTGAAACTCAGATCTGAAATCTGTATACAGGTAGCCTTTGACTTACAATCGCAACAGAGCCCAAAATTTCCATCACTAAAGAAGATATCCGATTTTGCAGTAGAAAATCAAATCCAGAAAAGCACACCCAGATAACTGATGCAACAGGATTCATTAACTTCTTTATATACATATAATACATGAAGATAAATGTACAATACCAACATAGATTCTTCTTCAACGCAGTAGCAGTTACAAGCAAAACACACCGCAGGAGGGAACAGTTAGTTTCATTTCAGCAGAGCAGACTAGTTTCAGTTTCTCTGCACAGACTCAGAAGCTGCAAGGCTAAGCCACGCCCTGGCTCCAGTCTGTCTCAGCTCCCAAACAACCCTCATTGGCTGACCCAGTTGCTACGCCTATTCATTGGCTGATCTATTCCAGTCTATGAATATTCACACTCTGACACAAGACAACAGTTGAGTGAATTTTTTACGACTGTCCTCGCCACCCTTGTTCAGTGACAGCGGCAGTTGTTCACTTAGTAACAGGCTTGTAAAGTGAATCCGGCTTCCCCCTTCACTTTGCTCGTCAGAAGGTCGCAAAAGGAGATCCCATGACCCCAGGATGCTGCAACCGTCATGAGTCAGTTGTGCCAAACGGCTGAATTTTGATCCTGTGATCATGGGTATGTGGCAACAACCGTAAGTGTGAAAAAACGGTCACAAGTCACTTTTTTTTCAGTGCCGTTGTAACTTTGAATGGTCACTAAATGAATGGTTGTAAGTCATTTGCACTACCTGGTATTAATAAACCTCTCCTATCTGTCTGCTTGTAACCTTCAGTTGGGCAAAACGGTGTATTGTAGGGGAATAGAATAGAATGGAATGGAATGGAATGGAATGGAATGGAATGGAATGGAATGGAATAGAATGGAATAGAATAGAGTAGAATGGAATGGAATGGAATGGAATGGAGTGGAGGAGTGGAGTGGAGTGGAGTGGAGTGGAGTGGAATGGAATAGAGTAGAGTAAAAATGGAATGGAATGGAATGGAATAGAGTGGAGTGGAGTGGAGTGGAATGGAATGGAATAGAGTAGAGTAAAATGGAATGGAATGGAATGGAATGGAATGGAGTGGAGTGGAATGGAATAAAAAAAAATGGAAGTAGAGTAAAATGGAATGGAATGGAATAGAGTGGAGTGGAATGGAATGGAATGGAATGGAATGGAATGGAATGGAATGGAATGGAGTGGAGTGGAGTGGAGTGGAGTGGAATGGAATAGAGTAGAGTAAAATGGAATGGAATGGAATGGAATGGAATAGAGTGGAGTGGAGTGGAGTGGAGTGGAATGGAATAGAGTAGAGTAAAATGGAATGGAATGGAATAGAGTGGAGTGGAGTGGAGTGGAGTGGAATGGAATGGAATAGAGTAGAGTAAAATGGAATGGAATGGAGTGGAGTGGAGTGGAGTGGAATGGAATAGAGTAGAGTAAAATGGAATGGAATGGAATAGAGTGGAGTGGAGTGGAATGGAATGGAATAGAGTAGAGTAAAATGGAATGGAATGGAATGGAATGGAATGGAATGGAGTGGAGTGGAGTGGAGTGGAATGGAATGGAATAGAGTAGAGTAAAATGGAATGGAATGGAATGGAATGGAGTGGAATAGAGTAGAGTAAAATGGAATGGAATGGAGTGGAGTGGAGTGGAGTGGAGTGGAATGGAATGGAATAGAGTAGAGTAAAATGGAATGGAATGGAATGGAATGGAGTGGAGTGGAGTGGAGTGGAGTGGAGTGGAGTGGAATAGAATAGAATAGAATAGAATAGAATAGAATAGAATAGAATAGAATAGAATAGAATAGAATAGAATAGAATAGAATGGAATAGAGTAGAGTAAAATGGAATGGAATGGAATGGAATGGAGTGGAGTGGAGTGGAGTGGAGTGGAGTGGAGTGGAATGGAATGGAATGGAATAGAGTAGAGTAAAATGGAAATGGAATGGAATGGAATGGAGTGGAGTAGAGTAGAGTAGAGTGGAGTGGAGTGGAGTGGAGTGGAATGGAATGGAATAGAGTAGAGTAAAATGGAATAGAGTGGAATGGAATGGAATAGAGTGGAGTGGAGTGGAGTGGAGTGGAGTGGAGTGGAATAGAATAGAATAGAATAGAATAGAATAGAATAGAATAGAATAGAATAGAATAGAATAGAATAGAATAGAATAGAATAGAATAGAATAGAATAACAGAGTTGGACGGGACCTTGGAAGTCTTCTAGTCCAGGGGTGGGCAGTTGTGGCTCTTTTACAACCTGTGGACTTCAACTCCCAGAATTCCTGAGAAAGACCCTGGAAACAACATGGAGGCTGATTGGAAAGATGGTTTATTGAACAGAACCACAAAGACAGCGTGCAATTCTGAGTCAGCTGAACAAATGGTTGAATGAGTGGATGGATCTTTAGAGGTTTCTGTGACTTTGAAGTTTGGATTGTTCTGGTGCAATGAAAGGACTTGTGTTTTTGTGTTCCAAAAGGGTGTTGGGAGATTCCTATTGTGGCGAATGGTCTTTCGTCCTGTGTTGGATCTTGGGTGAGGGGGTCCTTTCTCATCCTACCATCCTGCCTTTGTTACCTGTCAAACTTTGCTGTAAGGGGTTTCCTGTCTTTGAATGGATTACCAAATCTGCATTTCTAAAAGCTGGCCTCCTCAGTTTCTGCTTGGGGGCAGGGAGTCTGGGGCTGGTTTCTGCCTCCCTTAAGATTTCCCCCCCCCCCATTTCTCCTTTAGGGAAATATAATATTTTAAAAATATTTTCCCAAAATATTTCATGCTTCTGGGGTGGAGGGGGGGCTTCCCACAACATTAAAACAATATCGTTTGTTTCAGTGGTGGGTTTCAAATATTTTTACTACCGGTTCTGTGGGCGTGGTTTGGTGGGCGTGGCGTGGCATGGTGGGCGTGGCAGGAGAAGGATACTGTAAAATCTCCATTCCCTCCCCATTCCAGGGGAAGGTTACTGCAAAATCCCCATTTCCTCCCGATCAGCTGGGACTTGGGAGGCAGAGAATAGATGGGGGTGGGGCTAGTCAGAATTTTTACTACCGGTTCTCCGAACTACTCAACATTTCCGCTACCGGTTCTCCAGAACTGGTCAGAACCTGCTGAAACCCATCTCTGGTTTGTTTCAACCGAATGCAAAAAGCCGTCGTCTATTTTATCTTTCCCCATTCTGACATCCGCTGGATAGATAGGATTTCAGCTCCCTTGATCTCCCATAAACACTTTCGCTGTTGTGAAAACGGTATCGGAGACCACCAGCTCCAAATTGTCACGAAGTTTGAGCGTTTTAAGGGTCAGAAGAGGCCACACCACTGAATCGAGGCAGAAAACGAGGGAGAAGCGTTCAAAAATTGGCATTTCGCAGCCGAATGTTAGCCAACTAATTTGGACCTGCTTTGAAGGGGTTATAGAAATAGTCTTCAAAGGCTGCAGGCTGGTCCTGGATTGTCAACTTTTAATTTAATTGATTCCATTATTCTGGAGACAGAATTTCTTGCTGCGTTCGAGCCTCCCCTCGTATAAACTTGGCTACTCAGCCGCTGTTTAGACAAAGCCGAGAATCGTTTAAAATTCTCTCCAGTAGCTGCCATGCCATTTACTTAAGGGTGCTCGAAATAAACAAGGCAGCCGAACCTGACTTTTGCCGCCAAATTCAGGAAAACAGGCTGCTACTCAAGTGAGTCAGCCCCGCAGCTTGCAAAATTAAAACAGGCTCCTAAAAGCCACTGCCTCATAGGTAATGTTGGAAGAAATGTCCATCTGGGTTCAGTTCCAAGTGGGGGAAAAGACACTGGATTCATGGAGGTTGCTTGGAAAGAAAGTTTATTGATGAACAGGATCACATGCCTTGGAGATCCTGGGCAGAAAAAAGGGCAGAGATGCTGAGAATCCCTGGGTTTTATACCGACTCTGGCTTTGAACTTCCTGGGGCACAAGAAGAGTATCCTGATTGGTTGCTGACAGAGGTCATGGCTAGCTTTGCAGGTTGTCTGTATGCTAACTTTGGTTGAATCTGGCTGGGTGATGCCATGAAGGGCAATTAAATGGCTCTGCCTGAAGGAGGTAGATCTGTGTTATGTAGAATAGACTGGCCCAGCCCTAATTTATTTATTTTATTTTATTTTTTGATTTATATGCCGCCCTTCTCCGGAGACTCAGGGCGGCTACAAGGCGTTAAACAATAGCCTTCATACTTTTGTATATTTTATACAAAGTCAGCTTATTGCCCCCACAAACCAGGTCCTCATTTTACCTATAAAAATAAAAATCTCTTGGGCCCTTTGAAGTTTGCCTTTGCTAAGATTGGAACCGACCGACATTGCAAGTTTTTGCTCTTTTATTTTTGCAAAAAAAAGGCGCCAAACTTTGGATCTGGCGAGAAGAGGATCTGGGGGAAGAGGAGTAAGAAAGATCCGTTTGGGCACAGTGAGTATTTTCTAAAAGTCCTTCCAGGCTGCAAAGAAACCCAAAAGGCTTGCGGGATGAGATTTGACTTTAATCCCGGGTGTTTGCACGTGGGAATGGGGAATCTGGGTTCCTGCTGGTGGGATAGCCCCCCCCCTCCGTTTGCCCTTAGTCGTGCAGATGCCAAAATTAAAAAAAAAACAAAAACTGCAAGATCTGGGGTACTTCTTGACCTGCGTGTTGTCGAACTGCCAGGGTTGGCTGCTTGGGTGTGCAAAATTACTACTCCTAAGTAAACAAGAGTGCAGGTCCTGATTAGGAAGGTGTAGATGCAGCCTTAACATTGCCTCCTCAACTTGTGCAAATCAAAGGAATCTCTACTCACGAGTAAATCCCGTTGCAATCAGTGGATTCCCAGGTAAGCGTCTCTCTCTAAAATGTAAGTTATTTGGAGCGTTTCAAACTTAATGATAAGTTTTCTTTGCTAAAACATTTGCAACTCCCCAAACTGGAGATTTTGTAAGTAGGGTATTAGACCAGGTCATTCAAGGGCTCTGTATATCTATTTTCTTTTCTTTTCTTTTCTTTTCTTTTCTTTTCTTTTCTTTTCTTTCTTTTCTTTTCTTTTCTTTTCTTTTCTTTTCTTTTCTTTTCTTTTCTTTTCTTTTCTTACTTTATTTTATTTTATTGCATTTTATTTTATTTTACTTTACTTTACTTTATTTTATTATTTTATTTTATATTATTTTTATTATTTTTATTTTATTTCATTTTATTTCATTTTATTATTTTATTTTATTTTATTATTTTATTTTTATTTTATTATTTGTTTTATTTTTAATTTTTTAAATTTTATTTATTTAATTTTGTTATTTTTTATATTTTATATATTTTTTTATTTTATGTTATATATTACATATTATATTATTTTCTTTTTCTTTTTCTTTTTTTTATTTATTTTACATTTTCCATTTTGTTTATTTTGAATTATTTAATTCTGTTTAATTTATTTTATTTCATTTCATTATTTTGTTATTTCATTTCATTTTATTTTTTCCATTCAATTTTTATTGCCGCCCAATTCAACCGAGGGACTCTGGGTGGCGTACGATTCTAAAACGGCCACGCAATTAAAACCGTCGAAAAGACAAGAAAACGATTTCAAAAAAAAAAAAGAAAGAAAGAAAACCATCCACAAAATAAATAAGGATAAACAGCAACCAGGATGGATGACTGTATACCCAAAATAAAATCCCAGTGGCTCCCTTGATATTTCTCCCGAGGAGAAGAAGTAAAACCGAAGTTTTACGCAAACCGGCTGGAGAAGAACAAATGAAACTTGGCAGGCCACGCCACGGTCTGCCCTGGATTTTTGTGGTGTAAAAAGGAAACAGCCGCTGGAGGCGTAGCTGTCCCGTCCCTCTGCGTCATGTTCATCTGGCAATTATGGCCGCCACAAAGAGAATCAATGTGGGTGCAGCCGGCTTAGAGCCATCCCGGGAAATCTGCAGGAGACGGGAGATTGAAGGGGCCATCCTATTTGCAAGGAACGACGGAGTTGACGTCAGATAGCGTCATATTACTTTGAAAGACCTGGAGGGGGATCTTAGAGGTCATCCAGGCTGACCTCCGCTCCCCTGCTCAAGGTACGATCCGCTCGGGCCATCTGACGGATGACTGGTACAACCTTTTAAGGGAAGCAGTGCATTTAATAAAGTCACGTGGCAGGCTGTTTCATAGGCTGACAGCCCATAGACGGATAGTCCTCGATTTACGACCACAATGGAGCCCAAAATATCCAACTAAGACAGTTGCTAAGTGAGTCTTGCCCCATTTTACGACCTTGCTTGCCCCGGTTGCTAAGCAATTCACTGCAGTTCACTTAACAACGTGGTTGTTAAGTGAATCCGGCTTCCCTCTTGACTTGGCTTGTCAGAAGGTCGCAAAAGGGAATCAAGTGATCCCGGGATACGACAACCATCCTACATACCAGTTGCCGAGCGTCCAGATTTCGAGCATGTGACCACGGGAAGTGTTGCGTGCAAGGATCATAGTGTGAACACTGATCAAGTCAGAATTGAAGACTGCTATACAGGCAGTCCTCGACTTAAAACAGTTCATTTAGTGGCCTTTCAAAGTTTACAACGGCACTGAAAAAAAGTGATTTATGACCGTTTCCCACACTTAACGACCGTTGCAGCATCCCCATAGACACGTGATGAAAATTCAAATGCTTGACAACTGATTCATACGTATGACGGTTGCCGTGTCTCGGGATCACATGATCAGTTTTTGTGATCTTCTAACCAATGGGCAAGCCAGATTCACTTCACAGCCATGTTATTAAAACTTAACAAATGTAACAACGCACTTAACAACGGTGGCGAGAAAAGTCGTAAAATGGGGGCACAACGCACACCTGTCTCACTTAGCGACATACATTTGGGGGCTCGATTGCGGTCATAACTCGAGGACTACCTGTATCTCATTACCTCTTCTAAAGCATAAATTATGTTCTGTTCTAGATAACTTTCATCATCTTTGGAGCCTCCTCTGAACTTACTGAGAAATGTATGGTTTGATGGTGGACCCCTTTTGGGTTAAGTACAGATAGTCCTTGATTTACAGTAATTCACTTAGTGACGGTTTGAAATTAAAGCGATGCTGAAAATGTGACTTATGATCGGTTTTCACCCTTGGGACTGTTGCAGCATCCCCATGGTCATACGATCAAAATTCGGATACTCGGCACAAGTGGCTCATATTTATGACGGTCGCAGTGTCCTGGGGTCACGTGATCCCCTTTTGCGACCTGTCAAGCAGTCAATGGGGGAGTCAGATTCACTTAACAACCACGTTACTAACTTCAAAACTGCAGTGATTCACTGAACAACTGTGGCAAGGAAGGTCATAGAATGGGGCAAAACTCACTTAGCAACTGTCTTGCTTAGGAACAGAAATGTTGGGCTCAATTGTGGTCATAGGTCGAGGACTACCTGTCTATGGGCAGTCAGCCTACAGAACAGCCTGCCACGTGACGTTATTAAATGCATGCTTCCCTAAAAATTGCACCAAGTCCCCCGTCAGATTTTCCAAATGGATCGTACCCAGAGCAGGGGAGAGGGGGTCAGTCTGGATGACCTCTAAGACCCAACCCCTCCCAAGTCTTTCAAAGCAATATTACGATACCGGACGTGAACTCCCATCATTCCTCGCCAAGGCCTACAGCAGTGCCTTCCGCCGTGCCCTTAAAACTTTCTTTTTTCAGCAAGCCGGGTTGGCCTAACACTTTTAAAAATGTTTTTAATGATTTTGTCATTGCTTTTAATTATGGGGCCAAATATATATATCTATCTTTTTAACTGTATTTTAATGTTTGCAGTTTATGTTTTTACTTTGGCTGTACACCACCCTAAGTCCTCAGGGAGAAGGGCGGTATATAAATTCGATATAAAATAAAAATAAAAATAAAACATTGGTAGCTTGAAGATGGGTGGAATTCAACTCCCAGAATCCCCCAGCCAGCGTTGCTGGCTGGGGGATTCTGGGAGTTGAAGTCCACCCATCTTCAAGCTTCCAAAGTTGAGAAACACTGGCCCCTTCAATCTCCCGTCTCCTGCAGATTTCCCGGGACGGCTGTAAGCCGGCTGCACCCACGTTGATTCTCTTTGCGGCGGCCATAATTGCCAGATGAACATGACTGCAGCGGGACGGGACAGCTACGCCTCTGGCGGCTGTTTCCTTTTTACGCCACGAAAATCTACAGATCTACTTGGCTTTGCGTGCCGAACAGACTTGGTGGCCTTAAATGTTCCTACCCATTCTATGTCTCGTGAATAAGCGGAGCCAAAACATTTAGACTTAGGCTATGATTATGAATCTACTTAACGGGTGTTTACTATTAGCGTATGTGCTATGAAAATGATTCAAAAGTGCTCAGGGCGATGCATGAATCTTAACAACAACTGTTGCTGTTTCACTAAAGCCGTCTGCGTCTTTTTGGTTGCCTTTGTGTGAGCCTGGGAGAAAAACAAAAAAGACGGCTACTTTAATAAATTGTCTTATTAAAGCAGCTGCTGGTCGCTTTGATTTTAAAAGCAGACGCCTCTTTTTTTTTTCAAGCTTGCCTGTAGCAAAAGGGCTCTGAATCCTTTTCCAAGTATGCGTCAAAATAACATTTAGACTTACATACTGCTTCACGATGCTTTCCAGCCCTCTCTAAGCGGTTTATAGAGTCAGTCTATGGCCCCCAACAATCTGGGGCCTCCTTTTACCTACCTCAGAAGGATGGAAGGCTGAGTCAACCTTGAGCCTGGTGAGACTCGAACTCTTGGTAGTGAGCAGAGTCAGCCTGCAATACTGCATTGTAACAACTGTGCCACCCCTCCTTCCTTCCTTCCTTCCTTCCTTCCTTCCTTCCTTCCTTCCTTCCTCCCTTCCCTTCCTCCTTCCCTCCTTCCCTCCCTGAATTTTCCAACCAGGAGAAAGAATTTTTCAACTGGAATGTGCATCTGTGTATGTTTTTATTTATTTATTTATTTATTTTTGAATTTGTATACCACCCTTCTCCCTAAGGACTCAGGGCGCTGTACAGCCACATAAAAACATAGAATACAAATATTAAAATACCATTAAAAGATATATATATATATATATATATAAATTTGGCCCCATAATTAAAAACAGTAACAAACCAATTAAAACATTTAAAAAGTGTTAGGCCAGCCCGGCTTGCTGGAAAAGGAAAGTTTTAAGGGCACGGCAGAAGGCACCGAGGTCTTGGATTCTCCTTATCTCAGGGGGCAGCTGATTCCAGAGGGTAGGTGCCCCCACAGAGAAGGCCCTCCCCCTGGGGGTCACCAGCCTACATTGTTTGGCTGATGGCACCCCGAGGAGGCACTTACCTGAGTTTGACACTTACAGAATCTGCTGCAGCTTTGATCTCAATAAGGCAAGACAATTGTTGACTTTTTCTTCTCTCTCAAGAAGGGGGGGAAAAAAAAGTGGTATCTATTGCGCTG